TTTTCACTCATGGACAGGTTCTGGGGCACCAAGAGCTGGGGGGGGTGAATCATGACTACTTCTTCTTAACTGTTTTATTACAAACATTTGTCTTTCCTTCCTTCTTTCCTTCCTTTCTCATTCCCTTTCCCCTTTCTTTCCTCCTTTCTTTCTTTCTTCTTTCCTTTCCTTCCTTTCCTTTCCTTTCTTCTTTCCTTTCTTTCCTTCTCTTCTTCCTTTCCTTCTCTTTCTTCTCCTTTCCTTTCCTTTCCTTCTCCTTTCCTTTCTTTCCTTCTCCTTTCCTTTTTCTTTCCTTCTCCTTTCTCTCTTTGTTTCCTTACTTTTCAAATCAGGTGTGGTGGTGCGTGCCTGTTAGTTCCTAACTACTCAGAAGGCTGGCAGGTTTTGAACTTGTTAGGCTGGTTCGAACTCCTGGCTCAAGGAATCTCCCCTCGCTCTCAAAGTGCTAGGGTACAGGTGTGGCCCTGCCTGGCACAACGCAATTGTGAAGGGCATAAGAAAATGGTGTATATACTTGCGAATGTTCTTAAACTAGCTGATATCATTGGTGAACATTCAATAATAAATTTGTACAATGAGGTGGTGAATTTTATCATTGTACTATTATTTTATTAATAGTACGACAGGCATGGTTGGTGACTGCCCTGTATCCTAACCTTTGGGGATGGCTGGTGGGAGGGATTTGCTTGAGCTCAGAAGTTTGGTACAGGCTGGCAAGAGTAGACCCCATCGTCTATTTAGTAATTATTAAGTTTACAAAATAAATAGTATAAGGCTGCAATTTGGATAAACTAGCAGATAATCCTTCTCTATTCATTGGTGATCGTGATGAAGATCATCTTTCCTTGATTTATTTTTAATTAGGGAGTAGTATTTATTATTTAGATTTATTTTTATTTAGATCATTAATTATCACCCCTGATGCACATTACTCACAGGAAGCTTTCAAAACGAAAATGGCACCTTAACAAGATGATATGAGATTTACGTTAAAAATAATCCATGCCCATTTACCTGTGAATTATATCTGTAAACAATATCCAGATGCCGGTGTTTTTTTCAAGTCTCCTGTGTTTTTCTGCTCAAGGGTTGAGAATCACCGATTGGAGGTTAATGAGTGAATATTTGGACTTGAACTGATATGTAAGTAATACACATAGTATCTATATATTTATTATAAAGATGTATGTTTGAAGTGTAGTAGCAGCAATATCATACTTAACAGTGTAATAAAGCATTGTGATCAGAATTATTAAAGAATCCCTGCGTTGGAACAGGATGAACCGTGGCACACACAGAAATAGAAGTTCTTATTTTATAACAAAGATTTAGGAACCAACAGATGCATGAAGAAAGGATTGTTGGGACTTGAAAGCGTCTGCTATCTTGGATCCTCTGCGTGGTCAGTAGGGAGAGGACGGGAATATTCTAGCCAACCAAGTTGTAGGGTGCAGAAGTTATCACTTATTGTTAATTCTATGTTATATATTTAGTTAGGTGATTTGAGACTTTGTCTTCACACATCTATATCAGACACTGTGTTCATCTGTTAAAACAGTGGCGCCAAGCTGGGCATGGTGGCATATAGCTGTAATCCGATCATAGAGATCTCTTGAGGCTAGAGTTGAGACTAGCGGGCAATACAGCGAGAGCCCCACTCAAAAAAAAAACAAAAACAGAGGTCCTGGTGTGGTGGCCTAACAAAGGTGAATGCCTATTCTCTTTGTAATGAAGAAGTCCAGAACTGATTACCGTGTCATCGGTTTTAAACAGTCATCTTTCTTTCTTACCATTCTTCTAATATGTGCCTCTTCTACAGGTGTCTCACTGATTCAATGATGGTGCAGGAGCGTACGCCTACACACCTCCAAATTCCTGGGAGAATTGGAAGAGGGACTGGATGGTAAAAAGTGCACAGCCTAGCTGTCTAGCCCTCTTATAGAACCTTCCTGGAAATGGCAATTCTTTTACATCTCAGTTCTTCTCAAGATATCAATGAATGCTTAGAATAAGTGTTATAGTTGGACACATTGTCATCAAGGACATCAGTTTTAATTGTAAGAAAAGGCAGCAATATTGGTGGAAACTATCAGTCTCTGTCACAGTGACCTGGTGATTTAGGAGAGATAAAAAAAGATTATCAATATATGTTTAATCTGAATGATACTGTGATTTTAAAAATTAATGACAGCCTGTTCCTAGCTCTTGGGAGGCCGAGGGGGCGGATTGCTCAAGTCAGGGTTTCAAACCGCGCTGAGCAAGAGCGAGCCCCGTCTCTACTATAAATAGAAAGAAATTAATTGGCCAACTGTATATATATAAAAATTAGCCGGCATGGTGGCGTGCCTGTAGTCCCAGCACCGGGGGCTGGGCAGAGGATCCTCGAGCCCAGGAGTTTGAGGTTGCTGGAGCTAGGCTGACGCCACGGCACTCACTCTAGCCTGGACAACAAAGGAGACTCTGTCTCAAAAAAAAAAAAAATCTAATAAACTTTTAGAATAGTTCTAGTTTATAGGCATTGAGAGATATTTTAGAGAGTTTTTATAATATGCTTCGTCTCCACTGGTCATGTGTTATTTTATTGTTGGTTTGATTTGATGTATTTACTGGGATACATATGCTATTTAACTTACACATAGGTATCTGTTAGATCAATTAAGAATAAGAACACTAAGACTAGCGTATAAAAAATAGAAAATAGAATAGAACACTAATTTATTTGTATATTATTTGTGACATTTGATGCTCTTCCTTTATATGTGGACCTGATTTTTGACCCATGCCATCTTATCTCTCTGGAAGATTGTTAGATTTCTTACAGGCAAGCCTACTGAGATTTTTGTTTGTCTGAGAAGTCTATTTCGTCCTGATTGAAGGATAATCAATGGTTAGATTTTGAGGTTGGGGTTCTTTCAACTATTTAAATATTTACTCCACTTCTTCTTGCTTGTATAATTTCTGAAAGAAGTCATTATTCTTATCTTTGTATATTAAGGTAGGGTTTTTTCCTTTTCGGATCTTCAAGTTTTCTCTTTTTTTTGTTTTTTGCAATTTTTTGTGATTGCCTAGGTTGATTTGTATATTATTCTGCTGGTTTATCTCTGATTTCTTGGATTGGTATTTGGTGTCTGTATTATTTGTGAAACTTCTCAGCCTTATTTTTCTAATATTTTTCTTTTTTCCTCTGATTCGTTATGACTAGTTATACCTTTTGTAATTGTTCACAGTTCTTGAACATTCTCGTTATGATTTCTTTTCTCTCTTTCCATTTCAGTTTGGAGTTTCTATTCATAATATCTTCAAGCTCACTGATCTTCTTAGCTGTGTCTTAGTCACATGCAGGCCATCAAATGAGATTATTCTTTAATGTTTTTATTTCTAGCTTTCCTTTGTGTTTTCTTAGATTTTCCATCTCTGTGTACATGCATGCAGTCATCAGACTGACCAAAATATTAACTAAAGAGGCCTTTCTTAAGAGCTGTAAGACGAAAGAAGCAAGTAACATACAAGGGAAATCCAATTCGAATAACACCAGACTTCTCTGAGACTTTATAAGCAAGGAGAGACTGGGGTCCCATTCTCACTCTTTTGAAACAAAACAATGCCCAGCCTAGGATATGGTCAATAAAAAAATTCTATGAAGAAAATGACAATGGAGAGACAAGTTATCAAGTCCTCTGGGACACAGCTAAAGCAGTTATGAGAGGAAAGTTTATCTCCATAATGCCTATAACCAAAAGTCAAAAAGATCACAAATAGACAATCTAATGAAACAACTCAAAGAGCTGGAAAAAGAAGAACAGACAAGCCCCAAACCCAGCAGAAGAAGTGAAATTAACAAGATCAAATCAGAACTAAACGAAAATGAAAACAGGGAAGCTATTCAGGAGATTAATAAAACAAAAATTTGGTTCTTTGAAAAAATAAAATTGACACGCCACTGGCTAAGCTAACGAAAAGCAGAAAAGAGAAATCTCTAATAAGCTCCATCAGGAATAAAAAAGGAGATATCACAGCTGATCCCAAAGAGATACAAGATATAACTTATGAATACTACAAAAAT